TAATTTTTTATAAATATAACTAATAAATAATTTTCTCTATTGTTATTATGTTAAATTTTAAAATTTTAAATTCATAAATTACATAAACCTCAATATAAAGACTTCTTATATAACAATTTCATTATCATCATTCAACAATTAATATATAAATACATCCTCCTTTCAAAATTTCCTCTCGTTTCTATACATATCTTGCATTAATTTCTTCAATCATGAATACAATAACATTACTATTGTAGCCAGCTAATTATCTCTATTATCCTCTTTTTACCAAAAAAAGAATAGAATAACATTAAGTAAACATTCAACAGCTGTACATTAAAGCTTAATTCCTTCCCGCTTCTTCAGAATTCAGAAACACTGGACCTCACCCGCGGCTTTAACCCCTCGTATGCCCTCTAACTTGTTGTCTCTGTGACCTTTAGCCCCATAGTATATAATATAGGTAAATAAACCCTTAAAACTGCAAGACACTAATGGTATTGGTACAAAATGGACGATACCGTTTGGTTTCCGTTAGTACTTGCCTTGTGAGCGCCTCAACCTTGCTGAGTGGAACGTACTGGACCCCTTAAATCGCAAGACTTTTAAGCAGTTTTTGGTCTATAGGGCGACATCAAAATATGCATTTCTAATTAATTAAGTTTGTAGTTTTGGGCCTTAGTTCTAAAAATTCATACTTAATAAATTGACAAATTTAATTTGATTTTTAGTTGTTAATTTTTTTGTGTTTAAATTTTGACAATCCAAACTAAAAGTCAAAAACAACAATTATACTAAATGGAGTCTTAACTATTTGACTTAGGTATAATTTTTAATTGCTTAATTCATAAATTAATGATTGTTTTTCTAACTTATGCTTTAGGACACAAGTTAAACCTACATTTTTATCATTAATATATTAAAAAATAAAAAATTGACATTAATTTTATTAAATTTTGAATTAAAAACATCATAAATTATGAAATTGTACAAAAAAAAAATCCTAAAATATGGAATATTAAGGACAAACACAAAAATGATATAATTACAATATCATATGACATTATAAACTTATAATATAATGCGTCATTATATAAGTAACTTTTTTTACTCAAAAGTCTATTTATGATATTATATATATTTATTTAATGATATGTCACATTAATTTAATATCATATCATATCATAATTGTTAATTTATAATTATATATGAAATTATAATTATAGCATTGTCAATAACACAAATTGACATTTGCCATACTATGTTGTAACAATGTTTCCTTTTTTTTTAACAATACGAAGAGAGATCTATCTCGTGCCATCCAAAGAGAAGTGGGATTCCTTCTCTCTGTATATGCTCAAATAAACTTCAAATGAACTTTTATTGTTGATGATAGAAAATAGTCCACTTAAATAGCTCGACAAAATGACAAACTTTTTAGAGTAAGCAATTACTAAATCAAGAGCCTAAACCTAGTTGTCCTATTCTATTCTTCAGCTGGAAAATCTTCAGCTAGATACCTTCGGACCAGGGCAGCCCAAAAACCATTGATGATTCCATCAAAAATAACAACTGACGAGCACCAACGAATGTGAGTGTGGGCATGAGGCTTCCTTCCAGATCACCAACTAGGAGGTAGTGCAAAATCCCATGCCTATATTTTTAAGTTAAATTTAAATTTTAAGTTTTGAAATCAACATTTTAAAAAATTAATTTTTAGTATATTTTTAAGATTATTTAAAAATAA